ACTGTACTGAAGTTACTTATAGTTTATTGTTTATGTTTATATTTTACATTCTTGTATAGTTGTCCTGCGTATTGCACTACATGTTTGTACCTATGTCTTCTTATGCAGTCTTACTTTACACCCACTGGATGTTGCATCATTCATCCAACCTGGGACTGTACTGCGCTGTATACAGACGGATGACAATAAAGTCTCTCTTATCTTGTTGCTTTACATATTAAGACTTTTGTATATGAAACACATAAAGAGCTTATAAAATAGGATGTTTTGTTAAAAATTAAACTGTATGGAAAAAGTACAGCTGAAAGTAATTTGTTGATTCATGGTTCCAGCTTCACAAATGTAAAGTAGTAATTGTGAAGGCATTTCTCACTATTTTCAGAATTTGTACAAACCAAACAATTAATGGAGAAAATAATCAGCAGATTTATCAATAATGATGAAAATAATCAATACAATAATACAAGTTTAGTATTGGTACTTTTACTAAAGTAAAGGATCTTAATACTTCCTCCACCACTGTTGCTGCCGAGTTATGTCTCATGTAATCAGTGGGTGTACTGTACTTTCTTTTAAGTGGCCAGTCAAGCAAAGGATAAATGCCCAAATTAACCCAAAAATGGGCCAGTAGTGTAACTTAACTTCAGGCAGTTGGGATCATTACGAAATTAACATTAGCCACAGAAGAGGTGCAGATTTTGTGATGGTTACTGGCCCACCGACGGGTGAGAAAACTATAAAAATATGCATTTTTAGGGTTAGGGGTAACTATATGTCATGCCTTCGCCATCCTAGGAAGAAAAAAAAAAATCAGCCCCCAGAGAATAAGTGGATATAATAGTGGTTATCTTAAAGCCTTGACTCATCTTATTATTTACTGTGATATTTGTGACCTTAAAATGAGTCCCTTAATTGATTTAAGCAATTAAAATATATGAAAATAAGTAAAATAACCACTGTCGGTAGAACAAGTTTCCAAATCTTCAGTTCGTTCATCGTGTTTCATTTTAAATCCACAGTGAAGACGACCAACAAACAGTCAGTGAGCCACATTTTAAAACACAGACACATTTTTATGATTAAAAACCAGACGGGGTTTTGTTAAAATTGTTACATGTAAAGAAACAACATCGGTAGACAAAATTCAAAAAATATAAAATAAATAAAAGTGAAAACAAACAAAATCGGACAAAATGTTTTGTCAGCTTCCAAACATTTCTCCACAGTCTCCATTGACAATATTCACATTTGACATCAATACTGTTGATAAATGAACACAAAAGTAACTGTTAATAGGTGACATTTTTCAATACGTCTAAATGAGTGTACAAGTGTGCATGTTCACAAACGCATGCAGGTGTTTACAGATTAACTGGCAAAATGATCCATGAATTAAAAAAAAAAAAACTCTCTTTTGTGTGTCGAACTGCATGGGGGTTGTGTAAATGCTGTATAAACCAAGGTTGTGGGGCAGGGAGGGGGGTCTGCAATCCGTTTGGTTTGGTTAATTTGCGTTCGAAGCTAGCTAATCTTCATCTACTGTTAAATTAAACTGACATGACAAAGATACAAAAAACAACACAAAAGGAACAGAACATGTGAGTAGAGAATATGTCGAGTTGTAGACCAACTGTTCAAGAAATCTACACCTACATACCCACAGAGCCATGCCTACCCTCTGCTCCCCCCACCATGCATCACATACACTTTGCACTAACACAGAGGTCAGACAAAATCCAGTACACAACATCATAATCTCTAGAACAATGCATGCTCTCGTGTTTTTTTTCCACGTGCCCAAACGACAGAGATATATATATTTATATTTTTTTGCAGATTTGTTAAAATTGCACATTATCTGTAGGCTAACTAGTGCAGGTGAAAGTAAAAACTTTTGAAAAGAAATGGGTGCTTGATTCAAATGTTCAAATAACCACACTGCAAAGTTTAGATAGGTCAGTGGTTCCCGAACCTTTTGGCTTCTGGCGCCTTAAAACGAACCCCTCATCACCGGTCGATCGGTTGTGTTCAAGTTTCCTTCCCTCTCATTTAAATAATTTATTTGAGTCCTTAAAAAGTAAAACTATCCGATAATTCACAAGAAACATGGTAGTGGCTCTGTAAACGCTAATATCAGCATGTCAGATGTGTGTGTTAGCATGCTAACATTTTAAGAACCCTAAGCCCAAAGTACAGCTAAGGCTTCTGAAGGAAGTGAACCAACCAACCGACCGTACCTAGTTTAGTGTGTTTGCATGCTAACATGATCTCATTAGCACTGGACACAAGGTACAGCTGAGCATCAGCTTCAGTAGGGTTCATCCTCTAGGGACGAATAAAGCCTGTACAAACTTTCATGGCAATAGTTGTTAAGATATTTAAGTCCGGACCAACATGGTAGATGGACCGACACTGCTAGCATGGCAGAAATATTGAAAATATAAGCTTCTTTCTTTCTTTTTTAACCATCTTATGACCTCTTCTGGGGTCCTGGTGCACCCTCAGTTTGGGAACCACTGAACTTCGCAAACCAAGGTAAGATCAAACTGGGGTTTTACAAAAGGTGACAGGTACAGTAAGTGCTTTAAAAATGTTGATTACACACATCTAAAAATGGAATCGTTAGTTATGGCTTCAGCATGCAACTCAAGAAAAAAAAGAAGCCAAATGACGGCGAGTTTATAGTCAAATCGGTCTCCGATAACAAGTGCACTGCTGGAGTTTTACTAAGATAAAAGCAGAGGAGGGAAACCTGCTTTGACTGGTCTTCCTGCTGTCGATTGCTCCCTGCTCCCACGTGGTAGTGCCGTGAACACACAACCACCACGAGTGTTTACAGCAGATTCGGACCCAAATTTGAACCTCCAGGGGTGTAAGGGATCGTGGGTGGCTTTAGCTCAAAAGCAATGGCACAAAGAAAAGCAGCTGGTACTCATTTTCAGTTTGTCGGTATATATCATAAAACTTAAACTCAGGGGACGATAGATTTGTTTGGCTTGCCTCTCACTGAAACACCTAACAATAGAAAACAGGCTGAAGACCGCATTATACATTATACCTCAGGCCGGTGCCTCCTGGCTTTTTTAAGGTATGAGAGGCACCGTATGATAAAGAGGGGAGAACAACTGTGCACAACACAGGTCAAAGGCACAACACTGGACACAGACGAAGGGAAACGACACCCAAGGTGCTTTGCAAAGGCCCAGAGAACAACAAGGGAGAACAAAAAAAAGAAGAAGGTGCTCCTCGATGAGACGTTTTGGGCATTTTTAGCAGCACACGGTCTGCTCACGACTCAGATTAGCAGAATAAAACTGCACAACACAAAAAATAAAAAATAAAAAGAAGAAGTCACATCAAAGTTTGAGCTCTGAGGCCTGACTGAACACAATCAGGGAGACAACAAAGGTACAGGGTTTTTTTTTCAGGTTTAAACGCATTCTTTTTGTTCATGCTTGATATAACATAACTGCATCAAATACGTTCTTTATACAAAGATGGGTGTATCAAAGTGATCAATGCCGGTGATAAAGGTCAGACGCCCCTTCAGCTTCAAGGGATGGTGATTCAAACGAGTTTGGTCTGCACGATGGGACGAGATGTTTCAATTCTCCATCTGATATGTGTAAATACGGCTCAAACGTCGCATTAAGTTGTTCTTATAACAAGGCTGCGTTTAATCCAGTAACAATATATTCACACCTGTTCATTTGTGGATTTGTTCTAGAATTAGTCAAATAATAAAAAGTCCATTGACAGAGAATGAAGAATTTGAATCTTAAATGTGACGATTTACTGTTTTTCTCTATTTTCTGGTTCTGATTGTTTCAGGTCGACATTTATAGAAATGCCAATTCCGTATCTCTCTTGGATATCATTTGCAAACATATATTCGGCCTGATAACGATTCATTTTCTTTATAAAATCTGAGATGTGTGCAGCAATTCCAAGGGCTAGAACCAGGATAGATATTATATAAGTTCCTCCAATATTGTTACAAGCCTTAAACACAGCGCTGTCACAGAGCAACTTAATGTCAAGTATACTCCAAGAGAAACATACTTTAGCCAAGTTGGTACCTAAACTGCTAGCACAGAGAAAAAAAACAGAAGAAGTCACATAACATCTGAAATAAAGGCTTCACTCTGAAGACACTCCCCATCTGGCAGGTTCACTGACGGTAAGTAAATTTCTGCGATAATGTCGGCTCAGGTATCTCAGGGCTTTAAGCGTGAGGAGTACAATTCAGCTTGCGCCACAGTTGCTACACAAGTGCTGCAGAACGTAAGACGAGACGAGTCAGTTAGTGTGTCGAGTTGAGGACTGGCGACGGAGGCAGCTGCAAAGTGAGTGAGTATTGGCATGAAGGTAGCACAAGGCCGGAGAGAGAGAGA